CGTTAGCAATTGGATTCGTTGTTGGACTTGGTCAAATTGGTGGCATCGTTTTACCTCACTTTTTTCATTCTAATACTGTACCTGTTTTTCGTCAAGCTCATATAACCTGTGCAGTTATTATGGTAGTGAGCGTGTTAGCTACCTTACTTCTTCGATTCACTTTGACTAAACAAAATAATAATGACGATAACATACAACTTCGAACACCGAAAACAAACAACCGAGTGAGTCACATAGATTCTGATATTCTTTATCTTTTAAATTTTTATATCGTTTTAGCATGATAGTGTCAGGTCGATTTCGTGAACTATGTATTTGTTTAGAAGTAGACTACTCCAGAAAAACAACGATTATTACACTGCAATGTTTTGATTTGTTTTCTACTGACTTTTCTATGTATTTCTAGTGTTTAGTATTCATGTCTCATGCTGTTCAGGCATGATCAAAGTACATCTTGCGGTCATTTCATTTCTTTACATTCTATTTTCATAACTCGGTCGTACATTTACTTTGAGTCAGTTGTTGTTCGTGCTATTAAGTTCATTTCTCATCGGATAATAAACCATTATACAAATAAACTGTACTCCTAAACTATCGTAGTTTTGAGGAATACCAGTTTGTTTTCGTTCTCATGTGGATGTGCGTGTGAGTCTCTCATTTATCTAAATCGACAGTCAAAGCCACAGTCATACACCACACTCACACTCTATTATGAGTTCGAAGTAATATGATTGTAAAACAAATTGATCAACCATAGCATCAAAAGCCTCGAATTGCTTGTGTTATCTGATGATATTATCGTTACATCAACTATATAGTTCAGTAAAGTTAATATTACATACAATCTTATCGAGTCTTTATTTAATAGTATGTACTAAATCAATATTATTAAGTTTCTTGAAAGTAGTAAGCAATAGTTCATCAGGTAAATCATGAATGCTTACATTCAAGCTATCCATGCTAACGGAAATTCATGATGGTCCCAGAAACATTCAATATATTGCGACTGGTATGAAATTGACTGAAATAAAAAAGCTTGTTAGCGCAGCCCCTTTGGGGCTGAAATGTGGAACTCACATAGATTCTTTGGTTTCATAATGCTAATCTCAAAATACGCAATATTTTAAAACTGCAAAAGATAATAGTTTTTTTCTAAAGATAATCGATTATCAGAAAATGCTGTCGTTTTTATCTCTATATTTCGAACAGAATTTTTTTCTTTTTTTGACTAAGTTGCTATGGTCTGTAATTGGGGGGGGGGGGGTGTCTGTAATGTGGGCCTACGTTGCTATGGTCTGTAATGGGGGCCTGTCTATTAGGGGAGGAGGGGGAGCCGCGAAACCTCGAACTTAAAACTTACACTCACTATTTTCTTCGAAAATATATGTGAGTTCCACAAAATGGAGAAGAATTTATAGTACGAGAATACAATATCGATCATATGAGAAAGTCGAAAAAGTTTCCTCCAATATTCTTGATTGGTACGATGAAAATATTTGACTATACAAAAACTTAATAGATACCTAAACAGAATATTTCCAGGTTTGCCAAGTTTTGGCCAGATTAGCTTTGATTACTCAGTAGGCTGATTGAATGGTTCTCTATGAGACGGATTGGATTTATGAAATCTTTTGAGAATTATTGGGCAAAAGAATGAACAAGATACTAGAGATTTTGCTGAGAAAAAACGAGAATATCAAGATTGTTTAGGTAGAAGATGGTTCAGTGTCTGCGTGAAATGTAAAAATAAAGTGTAGTTCTACCTGGAACTGCTAACCACCGATCGATATCTACATCTTCAAGTAGCTACTTTTTTAGAACTGAAGAATTAAATTTTTCTTTGTGATATCTCGAACGTCTTCGATCTTTTTAGTGAAATATAATTTTTCGGTATTTTTATATGATCGATCTATTTTTTTTTCTCGATCATTTTGATTCATATTATTGTGAATATTATAACTATTGAATTACTGTCAAGCGAGTTCATGTGTGAGCAAATTCAACGATGGGCAAATAAGAGGTTTTTACAGTTTAAGTCAAGTCAAAAGATAACTATATGCTCTCATTTGACCGCCGCTTGTCTGAAGTATAAGAATGAATTTGTTTATTTTTTGTTTGTTTGTTTCTGTTCTCATAAGTACTTTTAGTGTAGACAAGAACTAAATGCATGAAATCGAAAACTATGTCCATTTTGTTTTTACTTGTGACTTGACTTTGGAGGCCAAGTCAAATGAGAAAGTGACTTGACTTATCTATCCCTGATTGATATTGATAGTAGCAGTGATCATCGATATATATTGTACAATACATTTCCATTAGGTATTTCCTATATTGGTAGAAGAATATTGTGTTGAAATGAGCAATAATTTTTTATTGATTGATAGTGTTTTGCTGTTTACTACGATATATTTGCTATAATTTTTCAATTCTATGTTAAATGAATTTTCAACAATCGTTCTACAAGATTATGACTTGAGTGATCAATGAAAGGAGTAAAATGTTAAGAGCAAATTGAGTAGAATATTCATTTTAAGTTAGGAAAGACAATAAAATGAACCATTACAAAATGAAAATTACACAAGAACTATTATTCAAATTAGAAAGAGGTATGTGAATTTATTTTGATGTTATTCAGATTAAAACGAAGTACAGAACATGGAGAAGTGAGAATTTATGGATATGAGAAAAATTAGACGGACTATATATGCTATCTTATGATATTTCACGAAAATGAATGATTCACAATTTTTCACAGACAAGTTCAAATGAGCTGAAATTTTGCACATAGAGGTTTCTTGACATGGGATTTCATCTGAAACACTTAGATCAAACATTTGAAAGAAAATTACCAATCCTCATAGTGAGAATCGGAACCGAAACTCGGTCTTTTCAGTCGTGTTCAAAAACTTTTTGCTACCAAAGTTCAATATGGCAAACTTTTGAAAACGTCAGTCGACACATTTTGATGTGCTCTTTCAAATGAGTCCATTCTCGATTTATTCTATTGCGCTGATTCGACTAACTTGCCGTATCTGCGTGAGAATGTTTTCTAAAAATGGTGTATAATGCCAAGTAAAAATCATCCAGTGATGAGATACTTTTATTACCACAAAAATATAGCCCATCATCGATAGTATTTACAGTAAAAATATCTAAGTTATATCTCTTGTTGTTTTCAAGAAAATGAAAATTTACTAGAAAGTATTGCAATACAAAGTATCCCAAATGAGACCTACACCCTCTTGCTTGCGACACCTATATCTCCAGAACACGTCATCCGTTTGAGCTGAAATTCTTAGTTTCTTTCTAAGTCTGTTAGGTCTACATACTGTAAAAAGATCAGCCAAATCGGTGAGATTGATTGAGAAACGTTGGTCGTGGCTTACGTGCAGTGGCTCCTAGGTCTTTGGTTTGTTTAGACAGTGAGAAATCTTGAAGAATAACCATTAGATATTACTTCAACATCTGAAATTGATAGAAAAAATTAATACTTTATTGGAAAAGATTATTCAAATGTATATCAAAAAGATTTCACAGAAGTTCAAAATGACAAGACAAGTAATTAATCTTTATTTTGTTTATTTATATCAAATTTTCTAATGTAAACAATACTTTAGATAATGTTATACGAACATTAGTATCGCGTATGGTATGATATAATGAAGCATTGGTTGTATTTGATCAAATTGCTTGAGATTTTGAAAGATATTTTATTCAACGATGGAATATTCATAAATTTAGCTAATATTTCATCACATGCATTGATAATCGAAGACTGTCGAATCAAATAGAATTTATACTAAATATGAAGTTTTATTATAATCAATTAGTTTCTTAACAAAACAATTGATTAACATCTGAGTTAGTAACTAATTTAGTCAAATCTATAGCTTAATAAAAAACATATTAGATCAATCTTTGTGTGATTAAAATATGATAAAAGATGTAATTGTTGTCACAAATCATTCATATATTGTTTTCTTGGATATATTGGAATATACAATCGTTATCATATATCACTCACAGTTACAGCAGTACTTTAAACATTAATGTTTTTCTAATATGATACATTTGATTAGTGCTTCTTTCTTTACAGAAAAATGTATTGTAACTTGCTTTTTTCTACAATGATTTGTCCTAACATGGATTTTCTCTATCTAAATTTTTACCCAGAAGGTTTTTAGCAGTAGTATAATTACGATTGTCTCAAGGTGAGACCCACTGACCGTTCTAATTTTGAAAATTTCACTTGATCCTTCGACTCAGCTTGAAGACATATGAACACTCCTAAATATAATCTCTAAATTTTCTTGAATTTACTGATGATAAGTAAGACGGAATGCGGATGAGGCTACAAATCACATGAGCATTAAAAACTGGCATAAACACTCACTCACACTCTTAGTATTTATTGGCAACTACATATGTAAAATGTTTAACAACATCAATCATTTGTATATAAGCATTAATGAATCGATGATTTCGTTCCTGTTGACCATGGTTCAACGGAACAAATACACTAAATACAAAATTCAAGTGAAAAAAGTCTTTAAAATGAATAGTAATTTAAAGTAATCATTTACTTGAGTATTTATAGAAAATGGCTCACATTTAAGAAATTCGCTCTAGTTTTCAATAGCCAATTCTTCAACATTATTATAAAACTTAGACAACAGAAGTGGAAAAAAAATCATTATTTAAATTTGAAAAGTATTTTCCGCAAATAAATTCATAATCTAACAATTAATTAGTTTTTTACGAAAGCGATCGATTACTATCTGAATTGGTAATGAGGTCAAATAATATACCGATGTAGATTAATATATAGAAGAAACAATTTTTGATTGTTATTTCATATTCAGAATCAGTTCTTTATTATTATTGCTGAAGATTCAACAGTTCAAAATTAATTAGCTGATGTTATTTTTCGACGTATAGAACAAGTACATAAGTAGGAAGTATTTTTTAATATTCTATAGTATTTTAAAAAGTTTCTTTTAATGATTAGAAACGTTGAAAAATTTCATGTTTATAATGTTCTTCCTCTTTTACTTGATTTTGATAATTTGAATGCTGTACAACGTTGTACTATCTATTTTCTTATACGTTCAATAGCTCAGAGTGATAAATCATTATTGAAACAACTTGAAAGTGCAGATAAATCAGTACCGGGTGCGGCATAAAGATTGCAACATTTAGTATTTTGCAAATATCTCAGCAGAAATCGATCGTATAATCTTGATTCTTGTTTTTTAAAAATGCGTCGTGAAAAGCTCTACAAAAAATGTAAGAACGATTCCCTATTAACTTGCTCTGATGGTTTCTGCTACACTCAAAATGAATAGGTCACATGATGGTGCTATGTTCCACTGTATTAAACATGTGGAAGGCTTTTTTTATTTTGCAAATATCTCGACTTGAGAAAACAATAACACCTTCACTTTTTTTTAAGAAGATGCGCCGTCAAAAGCTCTACAAGAACTGTATGAACAAATTTTTATTGACTTGCTCTGATGACTTTTCTAATTGGTTAAAATTAAAGACCTGCGTGATGTTGCTACCGAGTGGTCAAAAATGTGTACGACATTTTTTATTTCGTATAAGTCTCGGTTTAAGAAAATGCTACAATCTTGATTTTCTTTTTAAAAGATGCACCGTGAAAAGCTCTAAGAAAACTGTAATATCAAATCCCTATTGACTTCCTCTGATGGTGTCTCCGATACTCAAAATGAACAGGTTACATGGCAATGCTATGTCCCACTGTATTGACTATTACAAAAATATTTCGAAGACTTTTTTATTTTGCGAATATCTCGACTTGGGAAAATGATAATGTCTTGATATTTTTTTCAAAGATACGCCGTTGAAACCTCTACAAAAGCTGTATGACCAACTTCCTATTTCAAAATAAAAAAAAAGGTTTCCAAATATTTAATACAGTGGGACATAGCACCATCATGTGACCTATTCATTTTGAATATAGAAGACACAATTAGAACAAGTCAATAGGGAATTGTTCTTGCATTTTTTGTAGAGTTTTTCACGACGCATCTTTTAGAAAAAGAATCAAGATTATACGATCGATTTCTGCTGAGATATTTGCAAAGTACTAAATGTTGCAATCTTTATGCCGCACCCAGTATTTTAACGAATTCGAAAAACCTGAATATAGTAAAATCTAGAAAACATAAACTAGTGCACAATGAAATAGTATTTTCGAATATAATCAGACTTTTAGTAATAATAGACAACTTTAAATCAATTTCGAGTACACTGAAAACCGATCTATAATTCATATCTATGTTATGCAACTTTCTTTTCGATATTTAGGAATAATTTCACCAAAAGATCATATTAACATGTTTGGTATGCGTTATCATGATATTCTAATCGGTTATTGTCTAGTAAACAAAAATATTTTATTATTTATAGAATTTATATATTCGTTGTCTTGTTTTAGATAATTTAAATAATCTATGCTCATTCAAAATAAATGATCGTTCATTAGTTAGTCATTGTGATGGTGAATTTTGTATTGTCATAAATGATTTAGAAGAAGAAAAAGATGGTCGATTTAATGGAAATTCAATTCGTGTACAAAAATTTTCTTCTAGTTTGTGTAAAAAGATCTTTCAGTATGTTTCATATCTAAAATTACAATGATTTTCAAAGAAAACTATTTGACTTTTTTAGGATGCTATTAGGTATTCAATTCGACAATTACAATAATATTGAGGTCACTGATCCAATATAAAATGAATTTTATTCTTATTTTCAAAATATAGCAAAACAAAATAAATTGATTTATGAAGAAGTTTTTGCTACAATGCCAACTGATCATGCTAGAAAATTTATTCAAATTACTGTATATAATAACATAGCTAAGATGAAAGATGCTGATCCAATAAGAGTATATTACCAAATTTAGACATTTTTTGAAATAATCTTTTTATTTTGTTTTTTGAGACTCGGTAAAAGTTGAAAGGTATTCAAGAATTTATTGTCGAATATTCAATTTATTTTCTTGATGAAGAAAACTATTTACCTAGTGTGAGACAACTCATAAAGTTAACAATTTTTCGTTTGATTATCGATGATAATTTTCGACAATTATTATCATATGAATATCATAACTTCTTTTTTATATTGAGAGAGAAGAATGTTTTTCTTCTAATCAATTATTAACACATCTGTGTTCTATCATGAAAAATTGAGCATCTGATATTTTCAATAATATTCGGATTAGATCAATTAGTCGATGAATTATTTGTTATTTTGTTTCTTTTTTTTCTCTCAGGCATAGCTTCACTTAAAGTATGGACTTGAAATATTTATTTTTATGCAGAAGACTATACAAATTAATAAGAAAATAAGTATTACAACAATATTTTGTTTGTACAATAGTTCATTTTGCATTCCGTTTTTCATATTGTTTTAGTATTCGAAACATTTCTATTGATGTTTTTTCTCTTCGTTTGATATTTTTTCATTCACTTATGTTTTTTAAATTTTACATATACTATTATACATTTAAATAAAGTTTTTTTTTTTTCGTGTGACATATTAATAGTCGACATACAGATTCAACATAATTCGAAAATAGATATTTCATTTTGAAATATATCAGAGTCTCTAAATGAATTTTCTGAGATGTTATGATCTTCTTTTGTTACCAATACAATCTACTAAAACGTAATTAGTTAGCATTTTTTCATTTTAGCTTTGAAACATCTGAACACATTCAAGTCTAATATTCTGAAAACATATAAAATTCATAGTGCACTTGCGTAAAGCGTGAATATTTTTCTATACATTCTAACATACTGTTGAATAGTTTTGGTGTTTCTTAACTTAATAATATTGCATAGTTGAGGCATCTTGTCTTTCAGAATTTCTGTGCTTACCGACTCTTTTTCTTTGATCCCACTAGATATAGCGATCTTTAAAATTTTAAACATTCTTAGATATTGATCTGCAGCTGAGGGCTTTTTGCTCCATTAGACGAACGAATATGCGTGGCAACAGTACTGCCGTCAATCTGGCAGATTACCATATGATCAGAAAGAAATGAAGTAACAATGTAAATTGTAAACAATATCATAGAATTGATGCGCATAAAGATATTAAACAAATTTAAGATGAATGTAGAAAAATATGTCAACGAGGAAGTTGCTTGATGATCATCATTCAATTGATTCGATACCCTTATTTTTCTTATTCTTCCCTTTTGTATTCAAAGCGAAGAGATATATAGCGATATGCATTCCTATTAAATGTAAGATCACGAGCATCATTCAAATATGTATTCAAGTATATAATTATTGACGATTCGCAATGTATGATCTTTCTATCAAAGGTTTCATATATTGAATGTATTTTATTTTTTTGTTAACTATGCAGTCTATGAATAAGGATTATACGTCACAATAGTATAATAGGCAACATGAAGCTCTAACGACGGATTATAATAAAACCAATTTATATTTGTGAATGAAAATACATTTCAAATAGATTATACACATTGATATTCATTTTTGTTTGACGTAGGGTAGTTTCTGTAAGGTGATATAGGAACAAAACGTATTCAATAAAATATGATTTATCAAATTTCATAGATAATTCAAGAAATCTGACACATTCATCTTATTTCTCGAATAGAATATTTTTCATAAATTATCTGACTTTTTACGTAACTTATAAGAGGGTGTGGGTGTGGGTGGGTGTGGTGTGGGTGTGGGTGTGGGTGGGTGTGGTGTGGGTGGGTGTGAGTGTGAGTGGTGGGGTGTGGGTGTGAGTGTGGACTTAGATGTGGGTGAGTGTGAGTGTGGACGACAAGCACATCTACACCCCGACCCGCACCTACACCCTACACCCATTCGCATCCACACCCACACCCACACCCACGCATCCACACCCACCCATACCCGCACCCATACCCACACCCCCACCCCCACACCTCCACCCCCACACCTCCACCCCCACATCCACACCCACACCCTTCTTTGTTCGGTAGTGTTTGGAAAAAACGTTTGAGCAATATTCCATCTATTTCTTCGAAGAAAATCTATGGGAAAGATGATTGTTTTATTGTGGTCCTGTACAAATCTTGGAAAATTTCGTTGAAAAATTATTCTAAAGCTCCTAATATCCAGATAGAAAGATTTCGAATAAGGCTAAAAACGTTGGATCTATATCTAAAGCAGCATGTTCTGGAAGACGAAATAAATTTCACACCAATCAAAGATCGAAATTGAGTACTCTTCTATGGGAGTAAGTTGTGGCATACATGGGATGATTCTTATATAGATTTTGTAGACCTGTGAAGTTCTCTGTCAACCGATAGATGCCAAAAGAAAGAAACCTTATGAAAATAAATAGTGAAAAACATAATAATAGTGAAGCAGGATTCTTACATCATGACTGTAGTAATTAAGAGGCAGGTATAACCGGGGATAAAAGTATGTAAATCCAAAACATACTGTTATCCGGATCAATTCAAGGGTTATCTGTGATCCACTCTCATATGACTCGAACAACACCATGTTTTATTCTTACAATAGTGCAGAAAACAGTTAGAGGGACCCACCATGGATAGTCCTAGAAAAGTTACGGAATGACTCATTTGAAAAGAGTTCATGCTCCAGTTTCAGCTCTCGCGCGCTATTGAGCTGTAGCTGTCACATACATACTAATATTCAAAATTTTGCTGAAATTTGATATCAAGAAACTCGCTTCGCTTTTCTACATAGAATTACTAATGAATTATCTATGAATAGTTAGTGGCCTATTTTTCATTGTTTATTCCTCCCCTCCTCCGTCCTTTGTTGTTGAGTGATAGTCAATGTTAAAATTATTCTTTTATTTTCGAAATTTAATTAAGTTTTTAGATTGACACGCACGGAAGTTTGCCCATGTAAACGCTTAACATTTTCGCATTCGCGGGCATGCGAACGCTTTTGTAGAAAACTGTCGCGTGTAGATGCAAAGCAATATTAGAATGGCTAAAAACCAAAACATATGATACAACTATTCAGGAGTCTTTTTTCAAGAAATAAGATTCGAATATACATACTTTGTTTTATGCAACGAACGTTTTCACCATTTGATCGTCTATTCGAATTAGAAATGCAATCAAAACTGAAAAATATCATGATCTTCTGATGACTACTAGGCACACATGTACATGGACATTAATAACTATGAAGAATTTATAACATTGAACAAGTTTTTTGAGTCAATATAATCTGATTAGACGAGAGCTATTCCATTTTTACGAGAAATAAATAAATAAGCGTGAAAGAAAAAACAAACTTCTTGCATGAAACAGCATGTGTACTACAAATTAGTAAAACTTTTCATATCAACGCAGCATTGCTTCAGAATTAATTTTCATAAGTACGACCTGTTTGTATTGACATGGAAGCTTTGGAGAAGGTCTATTCATCTTACAGGTATACACAAGTGATATTTTCGCATTTCCATAAGAATCATGTGTCGTGCATGATTTCCTATGTTTTACTGAAAAACTTAGAAAACTGTATTTGCACGCATCTGTTTACGACACGCACTTCTATGCATATATTGCTGTCCTGTATTTATACGCAAATATTGCAAATATTTCACATAACCTGTATGCGTATGCATGAGACAAGACGAATTGAAAAATATTTTACAAGTAAACGCATGTTTTAAAAAATTCCTTGCAAATACATGCGGTTTTTAAACTTTCGCTCTTGACTGAGATGAATAAACATCAAGAATTGTCTTTATCAATTGACATAGAAATTAATTCTTCACCTTGCTATGCAGATATTAAATGTCAACAATGATAAACAAGGCAAAAAAAGAACTAAAAAACATGTAAAAGATAAGATGAAGATCTTTTCGTCGCTTCTTATTAAATCATTATTCCTTAGAAATTAAAAGAAAAAAAGTTGAAAAATGTCTTCTACAAACACACAACGACACTTAATCTGTCCAATAACATTAGAATTATTTAATGATCCAGTTACAGGTGAAGATGGAAATACATATGAAAGAGAAGCAATAACTCAATGGATCATTCAATGCGGTACAAGTCCAATTACAAAAAAGCCTCTGAATATAAATCGATTAACACCAAATTGTGCAGTCAAAGATGCTGTAGAAACTTTCAAACAACAGAATGTACAACAAAGTGCAAATATTAATGACGATAATGGTTAGTAATCATTATGGTACACCATTGCTAACTATGGCATGGCAAATTCTTGTCTTCTTAGATAAAATTCGTCGAAGTTTGGAAAATTTAGATGTTCTCTGTCTTTATTGTGGATTAACACAACAACTCAATAGTGTTAAAGAACACAAAGTAAACTTAGAGTCTTTTTATGAGTTGTCCGAAAATGCTGAATCAAGTAGACATTCATGGACTAAAAAAGTTCTCTATAGACTATCTAAAAACTGTTCACTTTCTATTTAGTTACGATGTCCATCAAATCCTGGCAATATTCAACAATTTGAAATAGCAGAGAACGAAATCAATTTTGCAATGTCTCAACAAACATCTTCTAAAAATAGACATTCTGACAATGAAAGAGCACTTAGCTTTCAAAATCCTCTTGCACGTCGGTCAGTCAACCCAACAACTACTGAAACGTGTCGTCAAACTTCGATTAGACATAAAACACAATTACTGAGAGGAAACCATTGTTCACTATTAACAAACCGTAAAATAAAATGGTTTTTGATCATTCTATTGATTATTATATTGACTGTTAGCACAATCACATTAGCTATTTATTATAATCGATGTAAAGCAAAACAATTTTCAATAGGTCAGTTCTCTTTTATCCATAACGTTTTAAAATGAACAAATAAAAATAAAAATTCGTTTTTTCTCTGTTTCTAACAAGCAGCGATAATGTCCATCTTCACTTCAACGATCACCACAACTTCAATG